CCTGTTATGATGAGGTCTCACAAACGTTTCAAGAAATCCTTTGTTTCTTCATTTTGACTTTGTCCCATGATGCTATCATGTACGTGATGCTAACATGTACGTGATGCTAACATGTACGTGATGCTAACATGTACGTGATGCTAACATGTACGTGATGCTAACATGTACGTGATGCTAACATGTACGTGATGCTAACATGTAAATTATGCTAACATGTAAATTATGCTATCATGTACGTGATGCTAACATGTACGTGATGCTAACATGTAAATTATGCTAACATGTAAATTATGCTATGATGTACATGATGCTAACATGTACGTGATGCTAACATGTACATGATGCTAACATGTAAATTATGCTAACATGTACATGATGCTAACATGTACGTGATGCTAACATGTACGTGATGCTAACATGTACGTGATGCTAACATGTACGTGATGCTAACATGTACGTGATGCTAACATGTACGTGATGCTAACATGTACGTGATGCTAACATGTACGTGATGCTAACATGTAAATTATGCTAACATGTAAATTATGCTATGATGTACATGATGCTAACATGTACGTGATGCTAACATGTACATGATGCTAACATGTAAATTATGCTAACATGTACATGATGCTAACATGTACATGATGCTAACATGTACGTGATGCTAACATGTACATGATGCTAACATGTAAATTATGCTATCATGTACATGATGCTAACATGTACGTGATGCTAACATGTACATGATGCTAACATGTAAATTATGCTATCATGTACATGATGCTAACATGTACGTGATGCTAACATGTACGTGATGCTAACATGTAAATTATGCTATCATGTACATGATGCTAACATGTACGTGATGCTAACATGTACGTGATGCTAACATGTACAGACACAAGCAACTATATATTTGTTGCACAAGAATATTGCTTCTTTATTATGCTAAAGTCATAGATTTTATTTTACTTAGGTATAGAGCTTCTGCTGTGTGCTCCTCATTCCTACTGTTCTGTACCTGCTGCTGCAACACTGAACTTTCCCCACTGTGGGACTAGTAAAGGATCTATTCTACATCTGAGTTGAACACTATGCTCAGCAGTGACACAGCCTTGGTCTTTCCTCGGGCCACGTGGGGTTAAGTGTGTTGCCCTAGACGACAGCAGACATGAGCAGTTGGAGTAGGTCTTGTGGGGGATCGAGCCCATGACCTTCAGGTCCAAAGGCCAATGCTCTACCAACTGAACTTCTGCCACCCCAGTGACTTCTTTTAGAATCATGAACTTATGTGTTTGAATGGATGGATGTGTTTCTGCTGCTGGAACCTGAATTTATAAATCTGTTCGTCTGTCTATATATACAGTATATCATCTATGTCTATCTATCTCTCTGTCTTGCTATCTGTCTCTCTGTCTGTCTCTCTCTCTGTCTCTCTATCTCTCTGTCTGTCTCTCTCTCTGTCTCTCTATCTCTCTGTCTGTCTCTCTATCTGTCTCTCTATCTATCTGTCTCTCTATCTGTCTCTCTATCTCTCTGTCTGTCTCTCTCTCTGTCTCTCTGTCTGTCTCTCTCTCTGTCTCTCTATCTCTCTGTCTGTCTCTCTCTCTGTCTCTCTATCTCTCTGTCTGTCTCTCTCTCTGTCTCTCTATCTCTCTGTCTGTCTCTCTATCTGTCTCTCTATCTATCTGTCTCTCTATCTGTCTCTCTATCTATCTGTCTCTCTATCTGTCTCTCTATCTATCTGTCTCTCTCTCTGTCTCTCTATCTCTCTGTCTGTCTCTCTCTCTGTCTCTCTATCTCTCTGTCTGTCTCTCTCTCTGTCTCTCTATCTCTCTGTCTGTCTCTCTCTCTGTCTCTCTATCTCTCTGTCTGTCTCTCTATCTGTCTCTCTATCTGTCTCTCTATCTGTCTCTCTATCTGTCTCTCTATCTGTCTCTCTATCTATCTGTCTCTCTATCTGTCTCTCTATCTGTCTCTCTATCTATCTGTCTCTCTATCTATCTCTCTGTCTGTCTCTCTATCTGTCTCTCTCCATGTATATATCTATCTATCTGTCTTTCTATCTGTGTCTATCTATCTTTATCTATCTATCTGTATCTCTCTGTCTCTCTATCTGTCTCTCTGTCTCTCTGTCTCTCTATCTGTCTCTCTGTCTCTCTGTCTCTCTATCTGTCTCTCTGTCTCTCTGTCTCTCTATCTGTCTCTCTGTCTCTCTGTCTCTCTATCTGTCTCTCTCCATGTATATATCTATCTGTTTCTGTATCTATCTGTATCTGTCAATACTCACACACACCTTGGTCTCACATAGAAAGCTGTTGCGGTGATCCTGCGCCTCACAATCGGAGGTGCCAATCGACTTGCGAGAGCGAGAATTGAGCGGGGAAAAGGGAATAGCCCCCCCCCACACAGTCCCCCCCCCACAGTCCCCCCCACACAGTCCCCCCCCCCAGGCCCCGCAGGCGAGCCACCTTTGTAATGTTGTTTATAGTGTTGCGAGCGTACATCTCTTATTCCATCAAAATGTGTCGCGTTCGCTGTGGTTACTGAGCAGAACGAGAAAAGGGGGAGGACGGGGGAGACGATAATTGCCTAGGTGTATATATATGTGTGTTTTTGTGTGACAGTGTGCGGTCTGCAGGCCGCCCAGCTCCAGGATGGAATTGAATTAACCTAAATAACGTGACGTGGGGTTGAGAGGGCGACTGGGAAAGACGGGAAAGTCAGGTGCAGTTTTGGTGATGGCAAAGGACGAAGTAGGACAGAAGTGTTTTGAGACTTGAAAAGAGCAATAGTTTGAGCAGGGAATGGGAGAGAATGTCATTTAGTCTGTGTCTTGTGTGTCCTTTTGGAAAGAATGGAAAAATATCTGAACTCCTTGGTCTGTAAATCATCCATCCATCTTCTTCCCCTTTATCCATGTCTGGGTGGGGGGTGGCAGTCAGAGCACCACCCCCTCACTGATCCTCCTGCAGGAGCTGAGATCTTTCAGTGGGGGCTTCAGGCAAAGTGGGGTTAAGTGTCTTGCCCAAGGACACAACAACAGCAGTCAGCAGTGGGAGTCGGTGGAGAAGGTCTCATGGTGGGTTCGAACCTACGACCTTCAGGCTCAAAGGCCAATGCTCTGCCAAATGAGCCACTGTCGCCCCGACAACTGTCACATGTGCTAAACATTACTCACTCACACACACTGTAGCAAACACAACAACAACACATCAGGACCAGCGACGTTGCCTTGAAGATTATAAAAGGGTCACCATAGTTACTATATACAGTGCCTTGCGAACATTTCAGGCTTCAAACATAAAGATATAAAATTATATTTTTTGTCATGAATCAACAACAAGTGGGACACAATCGTGAAGTGGAACGAAATTTATTGGATAATTTAAACTTTTTTAACAAATAAAAAACTGAAAAGTGGGGCGTGCAATATTATTCGGCCCCTTGCGCTAATACTTTGTAGCGCCACCTTTTGCTGCAATTACAGCTGCAAGTCGCTTGGGGTATGTCTCTATCAGTTTTGAGACTGGAATTCTTGCCCATTCTTCCTTGCAAAACAGCTGGAGCTCAGTGAGGTTGGATGGAGAGCGTTTGTGAACAGCAGTCTTCAGCTCTTTCCACAGATTCTGGATTGGATTCAGGTCTGGACTTTGACTTGGCCATTCTAACACCTGGATACGTCTATTTGTGAACCATTCCATTGTAGATTTGGCTTTATGTTTTGGATCATTGTCCTGTTGGAAGATAAATCTCTGTCCCAGTCTCAGGTCTTTTGCAGACTCCAACAGGTTTTCTTCCAGAATGGTCCTGTATTTGGCTCCATCCATCTTCCCATCAATTTTAGCCATCTTCCCTGCCCCTGCTGAAGAAAAGCAGCCCCAAAGCATGATGCTGCCACCACCATGTTTGACAGTGGGGATGGTGTGTTCAGGGTGATGAGCTGTGTTGCTTTTACGCCAAACATATCGTTTTGCATTGTGGCCAAAAAGTTTGATTTTGGTTTCATCTGACCAGAGCACCTTCTTCCACATGTTTGGTGTGTCTCCCAGGTGGCTTGTGGCAAACTTTAAACGAGACTTTTTATGGATATCTTTGAGAAATGGCTTTCTTCTTGCCACTCTTCCATAAAGGCCAGATTTGTGCAGTGCACGACTGATTGTTGTCCTATGGACAGACTCTCCCACCTCAGCTGTAGTTATCTGCAGTTCATCCAGAGTGATCATGGGCCTCTTGGCTGCATCTCTGATCAGTCTTCTCCTTGTTTGAGATGAAAGTTTGGAGGGACGGCCGGGTCTTGGCAGATTTGCAGTGGTCTGATACTCCTTCCATTTCAACATAACTGCTTGCACAGTGCTCCTTGAGATGGTTAAAGCTTGGGAAATCTTTTTGTATCCAAATCCGGCTTTAAACTTCTCCACAACAGTATCTCGGACCTGCCTGGTGTGTTCCTTTGTCTTCATGGTTCTCTCTGCGCTTTAAACAGAACCCTGAGACTATCAAAGAGCAGGTGCATTTATACGGAGACTTGATTACACACAGGAGCATTCTATTTATCATCATCAGTCATTTAGGACAACATTGGATCATTCAAAGATCCTCACTGAACTTCTGGACTGAGTTTGCTGCACTGAAAGTAAAGGGGCCAATAATATTGCACGCCCCACTTTTCAGTTTTTTATTTGTTAAAAAAGTTTAAATTATCCAATAAATTTTGTTCCACTTCAGGATTGTGTCCCACTTGTTGTTGATTCATGACAAAAAATTAAAATTTGATATCTTTATGTTTGAAGCCTGAAATGTGGTGAAATGTCGAAAGGTTCAAGGGGGCCGAATACTTTCGCAAGGCACTGTATGTGTGTAATACATTAAGATAATAAGTTGGGTCCATCTGACAGACCATAATACCCATAATGCCCCTCCCCCAGCGAGGGCTTAACATCACAGTCAAACCAATTCTGGATCTGAGCCTCTGTCGCTTCGTGGCAGAAGCAGCT